GAGGAGAAGGAGGAAGAGGTGGAGAGAAGGATGAAGAGGTGGAGGAGAGGAGGAGGAGGAGGAGGAGGAGGAGGAGGGAAGGAGGAGAGGAGGAGGTGGAAGAGGAAGAAGAGGAGGAAGAGGAAGAGAGAAGGAGAAGGAGGAAGCGCAGTCTCCCTCTCCCGGCCAGGGGCGGGGAGGGCAAGACACCTGGTCTGCCCAGGTGAGCGAGATTCGCAGGTGGCGCAGATACAGGTGGGGAAGCGGACCGGGCGTTCAGCCCGCCCCTCCCCCAAGGGATTCAGCTTGGGGGAACGAATTGTGGACCTTTAAGGCTCCCGAAGAGTCATGTGAACCGGCCCATCCCGTGAAGTGTTTGCGGGGGGCGGGGCTTGTTGGTGTTTGGAGCATGGCTGGGGCAAGCGACACCCCGCTCCGCAGGGACCCAGCTTTTGGGGGACGAAGGGAGTGTGAGGAAGAGGCGAGGTGGGACCCCTTATTTGGAGGGGGGGCTGGAGAGACCCGCATCGACCTCCCCCCCCCTCCCCCGGCTTTGCTGCAATCCTTGCCCGAAGGGGAAGCAGCCACGTTCCGATTTCCAGGTGGGGTTTGAATTCAACCCCTTTACGTGTGGAAGGGGGGGGGTTCCTTTTTGTAGCTGCAGCCCCCCCTCCACCGGGGATGCAGGGACGCCTGCAGAAGGGGGAGGGGGGCTCCGCTTCATTCCCCCCCCCCTAAACAGGTGGGGAAAATAAGCGTTTAATTAATTTCCTGTAGCATTTTTCAGCCTTTGATGGCTGAACAACTGCACGTCCCAAAACAGGGTCCCCTCGCTTAGATTTAAAATAAGCATGTCAGTTTTTTTTTAAAAAAACTTAAGTCTTCTGCAGCAAATTCCCTCCTCCCAAACAGCAGGGTGTGGGGGGGGGGGGGGGGAGAGGGAGCCAACAGGATTTGGAGAGATTGGAGTGAGAGGGTACTGGACTCCGAAATGGGCCTTTTCTGACTCTCTTGCAAGATCCCCTGCTTCACTCCATCCTTAACAGATTAACAGAGTCGGAAGGGACCTTGTAGGTCATCTAGTCCAACCCCCTGCCCAAGCAGGAGACCCTACACACCATCTGTGACAAATGGCAGTCCAGTCTCTTCTTGAAAGCCTCCAGTGATGAAGCTCCCACAACTTCTGAAGGCAACTTCTGTTCCATGGGTTGATTGTTCTCCCAATCAGAAAATTCCTCCTTGTTTCCAGGTTGAATCTCCCTTTGTTCATTATTCCTTGTCTGGCCTTCGGGTGCCTTGGAAAATAGCTTGACCCCTTCTTCCTCCTCTCTGTGGCAGCCCCTCAAATATTGGAAGACTGGTCTCCTGTCTCCCCTGGTCCTTCTCTCCACTAGACTAGCCAGGCCCAGTTCCTGCAACCTTCATGGTTCATTGTATGTTTTAGTCTCCAGTCCCCTAATCTTAACAGATTAACAGAGTCGGAAGGGACCTTGTAGGTCATCCAGTCCAACCCCCCACCCAAGCAGGAGACCCTGCCCCATTTTTGACAGATGGCAGTTCAGTCTCTTCTTGAAAGCCTCCAGTGATGAAGCTCCCACAACTTCCAAAGGCAACTTCTGTTCCATGGGTTGATCGTTCTCACTGTCAGAAAATTCTTCCTTATTTCCAGGTTGAATCTCTTCTCCTTGTTCAGTTTCCATCCATTATTCCTTGTCTGGCATTATTCAGGTGCCTTGGAAAATAGCTTGACCCCTTCCTCCTCTCTGGGGCAGCCCCTCCAATATTGGAAGATGCTCTCCTGTCTCCCCTGGTCCTTCTCTTCCCTAGACTAGCCAGGCCCACTTCCTGCAACCGTCCATCGTATGTTTCAGCCTCCAGTCCCCTAATTCTGGTTACTCTTTTCTGCACTTTTTTTAAAGTCTCAACATCTGGAACATGCTGGATGCAGCACTCTAGGGGTGGCCTTACTAAGTTCACACGGGAGATATAATAAGTTTGTAGATTTGTGCTTTAGGCTGTCTGTCTCCAAGGATATATTTGATCACAACAACAACCCTGTGGAGGAGGACAGGCTGAGACAGAACATCTCTCTTTGCATTCCCACAACCCACTAGACCAGTGTTCCTCCACCTTGGCAGCTGGAAAACGGGTAGACTTCAATTCCCCAGAATTCTCTGGCTAGCATAGCTATAGTAGTCCTTGGCTTACAACGCTTTGTTTAGTGAGCGTTCAAAGTTACAGCGGGGCTGAAAAAAGTGACTTACGACCGTTTTTTCACCCTAACGACCGTTCCAGCATCCCTAATGGCCACCTGATCTGAATTCAGATGCTTGGCAACCGGTTCATATTTACGACGGGTTGCAGTATCCCGGGGTCACATGATCTTTTTGGTGACCTGTGATTCACTTAACAACGGTGGCAAGAAAGGCTGTAAAAGGGGGCAAAACTTGTGTGACAAATGTCTCGCTTAGCAACCAAAATGTTGGTCTCAATTGTGGTCGTAAGTCAAGGACTACCTGTACCAAGGTTCAGAAATGCTGCACTAGACCAGACCATTAAGCTAAACTGATCACTTACTGGATGATGTTGTCATAAGACGGGTGGCTCTAACATGTTTAAACAAACAAACAAACATGGTTTGAATAGAAGGGAACCAACAGGAACCTATCCAGGTTTTAATTGTTCTGCAGTCTAGGCCACCACATTATGCGAAACAATGATGCTATTAATGTGGGGTTGTGGTTGTGTGATGCAGGCCAATGCATGGGGGCAGAAATTAGAGTACCGCATCCAGTTTTTGTCCCCACACAACAAAAAAGATGTTAAGGCTCCAGAAAGAGTGCAGAGAAGAGCAACCAGGATGATTAGGGGACTGGAGGCTGAAACATACGATGAACGGTTGCAGGAACTGGGCATGAGAAGGACCAGGGGAGACATGAAAACAGTCTTCCAATATTTGAGGGGCTGCCCCAGAGAGGAAGAAGGGGTCAAGCTGTTTTCCAAGGCACCTAAAGGCCAGAAAGGGAATCATGGATGGAAACTGAACAAGGAGAGATTCAACCTGGTAATAAGGAGGAATTTTCTGACAGTGAGAATAATCAACCCATGGAACAGAAGTTGCCTTCAGAAGTTGTGGGAGCTTCATCACTTGAGATTTTCAAGAAGAGACTGGACCATCTGTCAGAAATGGTGTAGGGTCTCCCACTTGGGCATGGGGTTGGACTAAATGACCTACAAGGTCCCTTCCAACTCTGACTATCTGTTATCGGTTAATTTGGGGGATTTAAGCCCTCTTCCCCCCTCCCCCACCCCGGGTGCATGCTAAACTCTGTTATGCGTCATGCGGCTAGAATTACAAACTGGCCCCTCCCTGCTTTGTTGTAATGTTGGGTTTGTTTGCTTAAGGTGCTTTTTAAGCTACGTTTTAGTGGAAGTCAACTTTTCTCTGGTGTCCCAAATAAATTGCAATCCCAGAAATCCAACTTTGTCTTTGTTTTGTTTTTGTTTTTGTTTATTTATTCCTGGGGTAGTTAGAACAGTTTGGATTTTATTTTTATTCCTTTTTTTTTTTTTTGAGAAGTCAAAAATATAAGTTGTTTGAAAACATGCCACTGTTGGACTTAAATGGTACCTATTTCCTGAACTGCTGGGAAACTCAAGGTGGAATTGGTCCCTTTTCCATCCACTCAGTTGGCTTTTTCCTCTTCTCCTTTTTAATTACGGCTCCTTTTCTCTTTGATATTGTACCGTGTGGTTTTTAACTACCCTTAATTATCCTGAAGTTGGAGCCTGGAAGAGTTGCAAAAGACTGTAGCATCTTTGAGACGGAGGAAGCCAAGGGCCAAGCCTGGCCTTTAAAGAGCTCTTCGTTCCTGAAACTTGGCGGAGGAATCGGGGAAGCAAAACTGGCATTTAGTTTAAATTGCATTCATTTAAAGAAATGAATAGGATTTGGGTGTCCTTGGTGGCCTCTGAGCTTCAAGGCTGCGCTAAGGATTGCACAGTTCAACCCAGAACTAGGGCAAATGGTTGAGGGAACTAGATATGTTTACCCTATTGAAGAGAAGGATCTGATGAAGGATCAAGGAGAGATCAAGGACAGATTCCACCTAGAAATCAAGAGAAATTTTCTGACAGTGAGAACAATCAACCCATGGAACAGAAGTTGCCTTCGGAAGTTGTGGGAGCTTCATCACAGGAGGCTTTCAAGAAGAGACTGGACGGCCCTCCGTCATAAATGGTGTAGAGTCTGCTTGGGCAGGGGGTTGGACTAGATCAGGGGTCTCCAACCTTGGCAACTTTAAGACTTGTGGACTTCAACTTCCACAGTTCCTTAGCCAGCAAGCTGAAGAACTCTGGGAGTTGAAGTCCACAAGTCTTAAAGTTGCTAAGGTTGGAGACCCCTGGACTAGATGACCTACAAGGTACCTTCAACTCTGCTATTCTATTCTATTCTACTCTACTCTACTC